CCAGCTTCTAACAGGCCACAGACCTGTACTGGTCTGTGGCTCAGGGGTTGGGGACCCTCGTCATGGAAGACTTCAGCAATATCTAGCTGCTCAATATGTGGACCTGTGATCTGCCTTTTGGTGGGGAGATTTCTTTCTTACAGACACTTCCAGGGGGAAAAAAAAAATTATTTTTAACTTCCAGTAAGGAAAGTGGTGATGGGAAACACCAAACTGAGTTTGGAAGCTCATGCAACCCCTTGCTGGAGAACAGGCGAGGTGGATGGGGAGATGCACAGGAGTGTGCCCTGGGCCTACGCTAGGCTCACATGCTTACGTTACTTAGTACAAGACTCCTTCCCTTCAGGCAGCATATGATCGCCGTCTATAAGAGACTCCCTTTGGATTAAAAGACACACACAGACTAAAAGGAAGGAGATGGAAAGAGATATTGCCTTGATGGACCTAGAGGGCACTGCTCTGAATGAAATGGGTCGGATGGAGATAGACAGATGTCACGTGATTTCACACACACGTGGAATCTAAAGAACAGAATGACAACAACGACAACAAAATGGAAACAAACTCATAGATACAGAGACTACTGTGAGGGCTACTAGATGGGATGGAGAAAAGGACAAAGGGATTAAGTACAAATAGTTACAAAAATAGACATGGAGAGATAAAGTGCAGCATAAGGAAAAGAGTGAACGATGTTGTAATAAATATTTAAGGGGGAAGAAGGGTATTAGATTTAGTGGGGTGATCGCTTTGTGAGTTATATAGATCTCTAATCACTATGCTATACAACTGAAGCTCATATATTATTGTATGCCAACTATAATTGAAAAAACTCATTGAATTGTACGATGTAAATATGAGCAACTGATTGTCTATTGTATTGCAAGAAAGCCGGAAAAAAAAGCCAATCTAAATTTTAAAAAACCAAAAATTCCTTTTCTTTTCTGGACCACCTCTGGCTGCTACACCCTCTGAATAGCACACACTCCCTGTGTCAGCCGGACACTGCGAGGCACTGCCTGCGGTATTTACCCTCAAGAACCACCTCCCCTCCAGGCCCGTGACGGGCCACTGAACACAGTCATGGGTGAACAGAGCTGTTGTTAAAATGGAATGTAACTGAAGTACCCCTCCCCTAGGCCTCCCAGGATGAGGGAGACAGAGAACAGCAGTGTTGCCATGGTAACAGGAAAAGGAGAGGGAGAATTTGCGTCAACTGCTGGGTCCTTCCCCGCTGTGCAGGACTCGGAGGCTACCCACCCTAGTCCTCTCATCCAGCTGTTGGGGGAACCACAGAGAGGATGTTGGCTTGAATGGCTCTGAGACATGTTTTTGAGGCACCATAGGCCCTGTAAGGGGAAGCCCCTTGTGCCAGAAGAGAGAGCCACCTACCTCCGTCACCATCGTCAGCCCCAGCAGGTAACTGATGCTACACATCAAGGCGATGAAGATTTCCCGACGGAAACCCTTCCTTAGGAAGGATGGGTAAAGATCAACCAAGGACGTGATCTGTCCTTCGACTTCAACAAACTGGGTAGGGGAAAAAGAGAACAGTTGAGTGGTAGATGCCCAGCACCTCCCCCTCGGCCTAGAGAGAAGAGCTGGGCACATGGAGTTGGCCTGTGGGGTCAAGTTCAAATGTGTGAACCTGTCTGCTTGGGGGCTGGACACCGTGGCCCATATACAGGTCTTCCCATATTCCACACCTTGCATCTCTGCTGAGGCTCTTCCCACCACAGAAATGCCTTTTAAGACTCAGCTAAAAATGACCTCTTCTCCGAAGCCAATGCTGACCCTCTGCCCTGCCACGTGTACAGGCACATGTGTGTCGATACGACAACCTCCCCCGACTTTGGTCTTGGCCCTCTCTGAAGCCAGAAGGAGTGCCCCCGCATTTCTAGGCCTTGAGTGCCCAGCAGGGCTAGGCACATGTGGTTGCTCAACAGACACATGAAGAATGAGTGGGTAACCCCGGGCAAGTCTGGGCCTCAGTTTCCCCACCAGATTCACGTGGTGATTTTTCACCCTTTGGGGATTTTGTATGTGTGTGTGCACACCTACAAGCCCAAGTGTGCGAGCCCAATGCAGCCATGACTTCAGGACTCCATCCTTGGGCTCCCAAACGTAAGGAAGCGTTCTAGAAAGCCTCTCGATCTTTCTAAGTCTTCCCATCTTTGCACCCAACAATTGATCTTGGAAGCTATTCCATATCATTACACGGAGAGTTGCCTTGTTTTTTAAACGGCAGCACAAAACTCTATCTTGTGGACACTTATCATCATGAACCTAACCAGTGCCCAAAAGATGGCTTCCAGCTTCTGCAGCTACTGACCTGAGTGAGGCCTCTTCCCTTACACCTGTCTTTCGGTGCATGTGCACATGGCTCCATAGCATAATTTACGAGTGAAACTTCAGGATTAAAGGGCTCGTAGACCCATTTTACATTTGGATGGCTATAGACAAATTGCCCTACCAACCAACACCCTCCGTGGTGGATCTGATTCCTTTAAAAGTTGTAAAGACAAAACCTCCACGCTCTGTTCTTTCATCTGGGAATGGCTTTTGGGAAGCATGTTTCCCCAACATTCCTATAAGACAAGTCCAACCACTTATTCTCTGGGATGCATCACAGGAGGATCAGGGAATACAAACAAGGAGCAGATCCCTTTCATGTGCTGAAAAGGGCAGGAGAAATGACTGTTGGTTGCCAGAAATTTAGGGAAAAGATGACTAAGAGGTTCTTGATAGGGTCCCGAATACAAGGGGCTGATGTTTTAACCTCTGAATGACATGTCAGCTAAAGGAATTCTGAGCCAAAATTGCCACTGAATTATAGCAAACCTGTAGCTCTAATGCTAAGCTTCAAAGATTTAAAAATAAAGGTCCTTTCTTTTTTTGAGATAGGGAGATTACAGACAGGAAGATCCAATGTCACTGTGAGTCAGGGCCAAGACCAGCACAAGCTCCTCGTTTCCAAAGAACACCACCCCCACCTCCACCCCTGTTCCACCAGCCTCTACAGACCTCTCACACTTAATAGCTATGTGATCCAGACTTCTCCATGCCTCGATTGCTACCCCTGTAAAATGGGAAGATCTTGCCTACTCAGCAGAGATGCTGAGACAAGATTTGAAATCATTAAAGTGCATTGGTAATTAGGTGATTAATCTTAACTCACGTCAGGGGGCTGGAATGGGTGAGCTCCTGGGGGGCGGTGCTCCAGCTCTCTGCTCATGCTGTTTGTTCACAAACTGTATCCCTCTCGGGCAGGCCAGATATCTATAGGCATGTGCCTTGACAAGGATGACATCCTGACTCCACTTCACAAATAAACACTCAGCAGTATGATGGCCCCTAAGCCAGAGAGTGCTCCCTCAAATGCTAGAAATGTTTCCTGTAATGAGCAAGGGTCACATTTCTCCATCAGCAAGAAGCACTGCCTAATGTTGGCGGTGGGTCTCTGTATTTCCACAAGGAGAAGCTATGTTGAGGTAACTCAAAGGTAAAGGGAGGGGGTTCAGACTAGCAGGTCTGGGAACAGGAAGCCCCAGGGTCAAGTGGTGGCTCCACCCCTTAACCAGCTGTGCGTGACCTGACCTCAGCCTTTGGAGTCCTTATCTCTCTGAGTCTCAGGTTTCCAGGCAGCAGGGCCTGTGCGGATTAAGGAGCTAATGTAGAAAAAGTCAGGTTGGGGAGGGGAAAATGGGGCATTAGTGTGTCAGGGGAACAGAGTTTCAGTTTGGGGATATGAAAAATTCAGGAGAGGGAAGGTGGTGATGGGTACACGAGAATGTGAATGTACTTAACGCCACTGAACTGCACATTTAAAAATGGTGTAGTTGGCCAGTTTTATGTTCTATGTCTTTTACTACACATATGCGCATGAAATGCCTGGCATGAAGTTTGGCCCATGTGAACACCTCCGATGGCAGTGCTCTGACGCTATCGAGGTGCTCACGGAGTGTGTAGTGGTCACGAGCATCAACAAAACCTTTCCCCCCACCCCCAAATTTACATAGCACATGCAAAGGAGGGATCCCAACCTATACCATCGGACCCGAGACTCCATGCTTTAGCTCACCAGGTGTAATCCTACTGTGCCCCTTGTGGTTTATCATCAATAGGCAGGTCGTTTAAGGGCTCTGAGCGAGTTCCTCGCTCTGAAGTGGGAAGAGAACCACTCGTCTTAGGCTGGCTTTGAGAGCTCATTGAGAGTCCCTAAGTGCCGTGGCCACCCTGGGGCCTAGCTCAGAGGTGCACAACCTCAGCCCAGCCCCACCCGCCTCCCAGGGCGAAATTCTAATGAATAAAACCACCTCCGCTGGCTCATGAAGCAGTTTCTACAGCCCAAGAGGCCTATTTGGGGCCCATGGAGATATCAGGCTTCATCATTTATTAACCTCTTTCTGTTCTTGTTTTTTGCTTTCACTTAGAGGTCTGGAAGAAGTTATAAGAGCCATTTGCTCGGGGCCTCGGAAGGCCAAGCTCATTAACTAGGAATGATTAATGGAATCCTCCTGCTGTTGACACAGCTCGAGCCCATCGACAACTGCGTAAGTATTTTGTTTTCAATCTCCCAGATGTTTTTATTCTGTCTCCTCTAATCCTGGTTCCCTTTCTGCCAAGTCCTTTGTTCTGTTCTTGACCTTACTGCTGGACCACCTCCTCTCCTCTGACCTTCTAAAACTTTTTCCTCCCTGGTTCTGAGACTCTGGGGACCTGCCCTGGGCACTGGCTTTGAGGCTGCTGCCCTCAGGACAGGGGGTAAAGCCCTCTCCTGACTGGCCACAGTCCCCCAACTCTCACTGGGTCTCAGGTGACCAAAGACTTTCCATGAGGCAGCCAGAGCCCTAGACCGCACATGAGGCTGCAGCATGCCTGCTTTCCGTGACTGACTTCAGATGCTGGCCCCTGGGTAGCACTATAGGCAGGGCTCTAAGTGGCCTGGGCACATGACCAGCCCATTCTGCACACCATTACTCCTCCCTTCTAGAGTCACGCCTGTACTCGAAACTGTCATCTTGAGAAGGCCCCAATGAAAATACACATATCCCTGGGGACAGGTAACCGAGAGCTCACGCTAACCATCCTCTAAGCACTACTGACTTCTCTGAACCAGGCACGGTGCCTGGTGCTTCATGCAAGGCAATGGAGGTGTGGTTGTACCCATTTACCAGATGATAAAACTGAGGCTCAGGCGGGGAGGAAACGTGCCCAACGTCACACAGCAGCATGGGGTATGGGAAGCTTGGAACTGTGTTACTCCAAGGGCAGATGCAGCCCCTGGTTGGGTCTCATTGAGCACCCAGTGGAGTCCTGAGCCCAGTACAGGAAATAGCCTCAATGGAGTCCTGCCTCAGGAGGGCAGAAGCCAGGACAGCCAGAGGTCGGGGCAGGGTTGAGCCAGGTCCCCCAGTGCTTAGCTATTTAGAAAGCGCCGGAGGATCTCAGTTTTACTGTGAGGACAAGCTCGCCCATCTACTCATGTGCTCCAGGAAGCACAGAACAGCGCGTGGTCTAGGCTTCTCTGGCCCCACTTTGGACTCTCAGTGTCGGCCTGGGCACTGACTACCTTGTGCACAGAGCTGTTGGTCCTTTGCCCAAACTGCCCAGGAGCTGTGTCATTCCTGGGCCCCTGCCGAGCAACCCCACGGCAGCGCATCATTTCTGTTTCAGTCTTACCCTTTTTTTTTCCCATCTACGGCTTTGTTTTAACCCCACCCCTCGATTGTCCACTTCCCCTTGCTGAGGTCAACGACTTGAGCTTTGAGGCCTTTTCCATTCCTGGGGGCCCGGAGGAGCCCTCATTAGCTGAAGCTATTGCAAGTCTGATGTGAAGGTGGGTAGGGGATAACGACCTCACACATGGCACAAAGGAGGAGGCTTTTCCAGAACCAGTTCCCCATGGACAGTCCCACCCTGGGGCCGGCCCCTCAATCCGTACATACCTGGCTATCCAGTCCAAGCAAGAGAAGCATAATAAAAAAAAGAATGGACCAAAACGTGGGCAGTGGCATCATTGTCACAGCTTTTGGGTAGGCAATGAAGGCCAGGCCAGGGCCTAAAGGGAAGAGAAATGGGGAGGGACAGAGGGGGAGACACATCAGCAGCTGAGCACCCAGAGCACAGGAGCTCATACAAAGACACCCGGGTCTGAGGCAGGGCTCCCAAACCCAAAATGCAGGGAGGAGCCAGGCCTGACTTCTCGCCCGGTGGTAGAGACCGGGTCTGTCTTACTTTTGGGTGGGATGCACCGGGGCTCAGGCGGGGCCCCGTTTTAGCATCTGTCTCCTTAGCAGCAGCACAAGTGGCCTCCTCACACATCAGAAGCCGGGCAGACGTTGGTGGTTTGGGATGGAAAATGGGACTGAGCCTGGACTCAGTCTGCCAGCTTAGAAAAGGAGCCCCCCGCCCCCCAAACCAGAGCGACCACGCCAACATTTGCTGGAAGGAAGCAGGGGAAAGGTTCTGGTTATCTGACTACTAAATCCCGTGTTTGCCAAGGAAAGGTTTCTACTAAAACACAGTGGGGAGGAAAAAAAATAGACAACCACGCCCTGCAGGGCAGATGTCTCTTCGGGGTGCCTCTGCGCACCCACCTGAACAACGTCAATCAGAGCTAAGGCCCAAAGCCGAAGGGAGGCATGCGCGGGGTAAGACCCCAGGCCTGGGAGACCCATGGCCTACATGCTAGTCCTCATCACACCATCATCTCCGCCTCCTCTTTATAGCACCACCTGCCCTCACAGGGCCTCAGTTTCCCCATCTGAGAAGCGAGGGGCAGGTTACGGTACATGACTCCCAAGAAAGCTTCTCGCGTTGATTCCCAGATGCTGACACCATTTCCCTAGAAAAAGGTTTCTGGTTTCTCAAGAAGGGGCTCTGACAGAATCTGGAGACAGGAGTCCTGCCAGCTCAGGGAATGCCTTTCTGACTAGAAACATTCTGAAATAAACACGGGGAAACAAATGTCTCCCCATCTCCAGCTGGCCTCCGTTCTGCTTAGGGGGAAGAATGGAGTAGTAACTGAGACCTGTGGGTCCAAGAGATGGTCAGCAGCAGCAAAAGAAAGGAGGCCTAAAAGGCCTGAGCTAAAAAATAAAGTAAAATCTATAACTTAAAAAAAAAAAAAAAGTCACGAAATGTGAAACAAAAAGGGCTGAAGGCAGGATATTTAAAGCAGATACCAGAACCCAATGAATGGTTTAAAAATGAAAAGGAAAAAAAAAAAAAAAAAAAAAAACCTTCGAAATAAATTGGAGCCAGAAACCACATCGCACGGCGTTAATCACAAATGTGGTGGTCAAGGGTGAGTCTTTTTATCGTGCAGAGACCACTCAACCTAAGGAAAACCTGACCATGACCGAGCATCCTCAGGTGGCTGGAAAACTTCACGAGAAGTGGTGGAAGGGGTGCTTGTACCAACCCCAAAGTCCGAGTTGGACTCGGAAGCCACACTTCCACCTAGACTGGGGCCCCTGGTCCCCCCACACGTCAGCTCTGCGTGAGGAGTCAAGTCCAGCCGACTGTGAGACAGATGTAAAATGGGGCCCCCACCCCCCACCGCCCACCCCCCGGGGCCTGTGAAGGTTCTCAACGTGCTCGTTTCTGTATTTCAGTTTTGCCTTTCTCAAGCCAGCCTCTGGGAGAGGGTCTGGTCTGAGCGCCTTTCTCTAAAAGCGCATGGTGAACTCTAGAGAGAAGTCCATGTGAAATAACGCGGCCGCTCCGAGCACCTCTGCATGACTCTCGGCAGAGAACGCGCCTCTCTACGTTCAGCTAAATAATGATCTTGTTCACATGCACTTGGCTCAATATGGTGCTTGTTAAAAGCTTATTAGAGAAATAATCACCCTTGATGTGTCGGCTGTTCAGACATCACCGTGGGGAATAAACGCCAAGGTCTTTGAAGTGGACGGGAGGAAGAAAACAACTTAGGTTGACGATATATACATACACATAATACCTAGTTGTCCACAGAGAAAGAGCTACTTATATATCCATATATATCTCCCACCGCCAGGTTCACTCCACGCTCTTGCCGATTCCCAATCAATCAGAATCGGTTTGCAAGCCCTGGACTGAAAAAAGCCACCTGCGAAGAAGTTGCGAACTGTCTCACTTCACCAATCTAACTGCCAACCTCCGAGTGGGTGTGGATATTTCTGGAATTACTTTCCGTGTCCTCAGTCTCAGGCCTGCCTTTGGGGGGCTCTCAGGGAGGGAAAACTATGTCTGTAGGTCTGCATTGAGACCGGGGTCGATGAAGAAATGCTTGGTGGGGCCAAGGCGTGGATTTGCCACGTCGTCCTGCATTGTGGGTGTGAAGAGGGGGCCTGGCAGCATCTTTGCCAAGTGAGGAGGAAAGTAGGACCCAGGAGCTCAGAGAGGTCACGGGAGCTCAGATGTGTCCTCACACAGGGTGGGCCAGAGGTTGTCACATGTGTTGAGGAAGGGGGACACCCTCATGTCAGAGGGGCCCTGTCTTGGAGACCCCAGCTCTGATCCTGACCAGCCCGAGCAAGACCCTTGCTCTCAGGCCATCAGTCTTGTCTGTGGAGTGGACACCTGAACGCACAATGTTGAGGTACCCCTGACCCCCCGAACTCTAGGGCCCTATGGGCAAGGGTAACACCTTGGCAGGGACTCCCGCTGTGCCTGACCCTGGTCTGTGGTGGTCTCTGGAATCAGGACATTATGCTTTCCTCGGGGCTGGAGGCCCCTGAGCCCAAGACCCCCAGTGCCTCCAAGTGGCCTCACAGAGAAGTGAGAAGTTAGGAGGTCAGGAGGAGCAGGGCAGGGTGCGCAAAATTACAGAATCTTCCCGGCGACGGATGGCCACCCTCCAAGTGAATTGGGCAGGACCGGGGAAGGGCAGAGAAGCCAGGAAGGTGGACTTTGAGGATCCTGGGATCCTAAGGTTCTCATTCTCATGCCTAAGCCACTGTAGTTTTAAAGGTGACCGTCCAAGACTTAGCGCATCATGGCAAGTCCTAGAATTTAGGCACCTGAGATATCGTGGTTCTGAGGCTCTAGGATTCTAGCAACTGAAGACCTCATAATTCTCAGATTCTGAAACCATCTTGCTGGAGCTCCAGGATGTCAGCCTAAGATCCCAGGCTTTGCAGAGCCCGTGATTCTAAAGACTCTTTTCTCCACTTCCAGGTGTCCTGGGGAGGAGGTAGCCTGCCAACAGGGCCCACGCCGAGAGGGTGACGGTGTCCCCACAACCTACCCCCAGATCAGACCTGTCACCGTCCTAGAGGGCGGCCTTTCATGCCCACTGTCTCTCCCCGCCCCCGAGCCTACGGTGGTGCCTGACACAGGGTAGAGACTCAATGAATCGATAAACATCAGTGGAGTGAATGAATGGGTTTGCTTAGAGGGAGCGCGCTGGGAGCAAAGTGCAAAATACAGAAACCAAAGCTGAGAAGGTGGTGATGGAA